CTCAACGAACTCGCACACTACTCCAGGTAAACCCTAAACCCTAAACCCTAAACCCTAAACCCTAAACCCTTAAAAGTTCTAAACAGAGAAACTCTAAACCCCTGAAACAATAGATTCTTGAAACAGTAAAGAGTTAATATAAAACCCTAAACCCTTAAAATACTAAACCCTAAACCCTTAATACAAAACCCTAAACCCTTAATATAAAACACTAAACCCCTACTGTAAAAAACTAAACCCTTAATATAAAACTCTAAACCCTAATCAAAAACCCTAAACCCTAAATTCTAAAGCGTTAGTCTGAAGCCGTTGCCTTTTAATATAAAACACGAAACAAACAAACCCTTCAATCTCAAACCCTAAACCCTAAACCCTAAACCCTAATGAAGGGGCGTATTCACGCTGTATGGTGAGTCTAGTTGTTGTTTTTGTTTTTCTTTTTGTTTTTGTTTTTTCTCTTTTGGTTGTTTTATTTTCGTTTCAACTGCTTTTTCTCTCTTATTTGTCCTTTTGCTTTTTTCTTTGTTTTTCTTTTCTCTATTGTTGTTTCAGTTGCTTTTTAATTGTTTTTGCTTTGTTTGGATTTTGTTTAGTTTTGTTTTTTGTTGCATTTGTCTCTGTCGTTCTGTTATTATTTTTTGTTTTTTTAGTTGTTTTGTTTACTTTTGTTTTTTTTTGTTGTTTTGTTTATTTTTGTTTTTTTTTGCTTTTTATATTTCTTGGTTTTGCTTAGGAAGGAGGCTGCATCTTCATCTGAAGCAGCATCACAAGAGCAGCAGCAGCCTGCTGCTGCTGCTGCTGCTGCTGCTGCTGCTGCTGCCCCTGCTGCAGCAGCTGCTGCTGCTCCCAAGGAAGCTGCAGCCCCAGCATCAGCACCAGGAGCAGCATCATCATCGTCAGCACCAGCAGTAGCAGCACCAGCAGCAGCAGCACCAGCAGCAGCAGCAGCAACATCATATGCTGCTGCTGCTGCATCAGCAGCAGCAACAGGAGAAGGAAGACGAGGCCCATCACCACCACCACCATCATCATCATCATCATCTATAGAAAAAGAAAAAGAAAAAGAAAGAGAAAAAAAAGAAGAAAGTCTAGATGCGAAGACCATTGGTCTATGCCAGTGGTCACGTCATCTGAAACATGAAAACCCCGAAGAATTCGAAACTTTTAAAAAAGTTGTAAAAAAAATTTCAAATTTCTTCGACTTAGAAATTTTTGCAACTCGAATGAATATCTATCCAAACGGCTCGCACTATAAACCCCATCACCACGACTCTCACGCTTACTCACCTGATAAACTACAAGTAAGAGGTTTCTTCTTTTTCTTTGTTGTTTATATATATATATATATATATATATATATACATACATATATATACATATATATATAT